CACCTTCGCATCGGTAACGTACAGGTACCGTTCGCATTTCTGATTTCGTTTTCTGTTTTCGCATCATATACGCCTATTCATTTCTTGTTGGTAGTCCATTGAGATTCTCTTTCACTCTCGACGAATCGTAATAACAAAAACGCGTGCGCGCAGCTCCCACACACAATCACACCTGTTTTCTAATTGTACACACGCACACAAAGAATAACAGCAGAAACTGCCTCCGCTAGTGTCGGCAAATTGTGACTATTCAATTTGGCTATCCTTCTTTCGCACGAGCAACTCTATTCAATGCCAACACACATCAATTCCATTAATGCATTGATTGTTATTTTTTTGTATTCTTTTCAAACATTTTCTTCCTTTTTTTCGTGAAGAAGAGAACCGAAGAAAAAACTGGAGAAGAAAATCAAAAGGAATTTTTGGGGTTTTTTCTTTCAATGTCCGCTTCGATGAATCCATCAACGAAAATCCTGTAAGACTTGGTTTCTGTGCCTCGGTATATGTGTGTATAAACCATTGTTGTTGTTGTCGCCGTGTCGAACTTAAGCTCTTTGTTGCGTATGATGCGTATCGTATGCCATTCGGATAAGCGCCAGGTGCTTTTCGTCTGTTCCAAAGGTTGATGTAGGTGCAAAAACGCATATACTGCACGCACACATCTGTGTCTGTGTGTGTGTGTATGTGTGTGTAGGCAGCCCACGTCGATACACATCGAATGTGCACAGTGGCACTTAGACGCATGCGCGCACAGGTAGAACGATATGAGAAAACGGAAAAATTCTTACGAGTTTCTTTCATGAATGAACATTTTTTACAATACGAAATTGTGCTCAACTGAGAAATAGAGAGAGAAAAAGACACACAACAATCCTTTTTTGTGTATTCGATTTGGTCGGCATGCTTCTCCCTCATTCTACCTTGGTTCACGGTCATTTTTCTGCATCGAACAATGCGATTACACGAGTTCGATCAAATCAGCACAGGTCAATTCTGGTTGGTTTGTGCTAGGGTGGAATCGATTGTATTATTCGCTTGCGTAATAGAATCAAATTCAAACGTACTGCCGAATGTCATCGGTCAAACGTACCAGCACTGCTGAGATTGCTGCGTCGGTCTGAGATTCGAAAAAAAAATCGTTTGGAATGCTTAAAAAAGGACTTCATTTTGGTGGAATTCTAGTTGGGAACCGTTTCACATGCAATAAATCCAAGGAAATTATAATGCAAACAACTGTGGCCGATTGAAATGTGTTTACAAATTATGAGGTTTGCGTTTCTTTTCCTAAATATGTGTTTAGACAACGTATCACTAACAAAAAGGGATTAATGAATAGTTTCCACATTTTGTGTAAACGATCGAATTTGTGATTCATAAGCCACATGTTAGGGAACGAAAACCAAACACAACAAATCCTTTGAAAAAAGAGAGCGAGAAACTTCAGGCAGAATTTGAAATTCGGGAAATAAATCAATTTTTAAAATAATATGATAATAAAAATGGGTCTCTAATATTATGCATTTACATAATTGTAAGAAGCATTGATTTATGAAGCGATAATATGGATTCATTTTTGATTTGATTGCATTTCAATTATTTAAATTCAAATCCAGTGGGAAAAAAATGGTTTTGAGATCGGTAGACAGATGGAATCGCCTTGAAGAGATTTCGATAAATCCGATTTGGATCGAAAGCCGTTGGGTCATCGCTCATTGGGCATCTTCCTTGAATCAAATAGCTACAATCAACAATGAATGAGAATGGAATTAAAATAATATCGTTTCCAAACAGCCCAGATTTATGTATATAATTCCTAGATCAAATTACAAATTCGATTTTTGTTCGATTTTCCAATATCGATTTTCAGTATTCCAACAAATCTTCCATTGACGTGAAAAATAATTTACACTGTTAATCATTTTTCGTTCTCCATTGAAACCCAAATCTATCAGTATTGAGATCAGTATTCAATTTAAATGGCAACAAACAACCATATGTGACGTTGTCAGTCGAAAAATCAAAGAAATTCTTGGGTCGGGTCAAAAGGACGAACCGAAAAATGAACTGCTGAAATATTTCCAGTACGAAGTCGGTAAGCGAAAAGAACTTGTTTTGCTTTTAGTGCAAGCCAAATCTTCAATCTCACAAGTGATTTTTTCGGGTGTTTTTGTTTCTCTCTCTTATTGAGAAGGAGGAAAACAAAGACGACGACGATTAATCCATTGGTCATTTCGTTTTTCAAAACAATCACTTGCTGCGTTATAGAGTATATAGTGTATTGCCAAAGTGATAGGACACCGAAACCAAAAGTGAAAATAAATTTGCCGCCACAAAGTTGCAAAATCATGAATTTGAAATATTTTTCGAGGCTATAGCAATGCCGATGGAAAGGAAACCGACAAAACCGAAAGAACCGAAGAAAAAAAATGGTCAAAAGATAAAAAAAAAATGTAACCAATTCCGAAAGGTCCATTACAGCGCCACACCTATGCCGTGCGTCTCGATATGCGAGATTTGATTTAGGTAAGCTTCTTTGTTTGCAATTCGTACTCTGCAGACATTTGACTCTTTAAAGTTTAAAACGAAAGTCCGTTGAATGCAATGGATTCGAAAATTTAAAAAACACATCGCCAAATCAACGAGCCAAATTTGAAAGATATCGTTGGTGCGTTGTTATTCTCTTGCCGTTTCTTTGCTAATGGATTTCAGTTTACGTAGATTGTGTAATATTTCGTTCTCAGCTAATAAATTACGAGAGCCGAACAGAGCTGTCAAAATGATATTGGGATATGGTTTGTTCTTTTTCATTTCATCCTCTTTCTTTTCGCATCTCCAGTTTCAGATCAAATTGTGTAAAATGAAACAATCTGTTTTCGTCCATGTCTTCCATATCAAATGGTTCACTTTCTTTGCTAAATCACCGGTCGAATGGTAAAAACGGTTTGAATTGACCATTTTTCGGTAACATGTCATTATTCAATTTGGGAAATGGACATTTTCTCAGGAAAAACCAAAACACCTTCCTGATAATTACATAGAATTCGGCCAAAACTAAACGATTTTTCATGAAGATCTCTTGAGTGATATTTGTCTCCAATTTTGTTGGCATCCAAGAAAAACAAGGGAACAAAATTCGCATACCAACACAAAATATGCATTGGTTTCCTAAATCGAAAGTCCTTAGCATCGTCATGATCGAGCTCTTGAGAGATGGCTTTCAAAATTTAACAAGTGAAATCAATTGGATTTTTGTTAATATGCCATATGTTGCACCGCGCGCACCACCCAAGAGCCGATTATATCCAATTACTTGAGCTGATGATGGCTGTGACCGGCCATTCCACTTTGGGTTGTCTTTCAATTTTTAGTTCGTTAGATAATTAATCAAAATTAAACGTAAAATATGGAAATTAATCTCTCTTTTTTCATTTTCGGTTCGGCAAAAAAAAGAAGCAGCAACAGCAACATGGCATTCCGAGCTACAACGAATTTTATTTGGTTCGGACGAAGAAAAATGAAGGAGACGATTTGGTTGCGCTCGCTGTGTGCATCCCAAAATCTACGAACTCATCACTATCATGCTGTTGAGCGAAAACAGTGTTGTTGTTTTTCTTTTCTGCTCTTTTTCGACGAGACAAGCGTATGGTGTTTTCTTTACACTTGACTTGAATTTGCTCTCTGCTGGCGTGCGATTAAGGATATTTTTTGTGTTCAGTTTTTGTTTTGCTAAAAATATCCATTTTCGCAACACACAACAACCGAATCAATGTTCGAAAGACGTCGACGAAGACGATGATGACGATGACGAAGAAAAGAGAAACTGAAAAAAGTTTGATTGTAGGCGGTCTATGTGATGCATCAGATATGGTAAATGCATTTTTTTTCTCTTTTCGTGTTGTCTTGAAAGAATAGCAAAAAAAAAAAAAAAATTATGAAGACGATGGATGCTGAGCAAATATAAAGAAAACCTCAGCGAAGAACAGTGTAGTCAGTAGACGGCAAAGGAGAAGAAAGAAGAAATAAAAAAAATAACACAGTTCGTACAATAACAAACAGCAACAGTCGAGACAGCGAAAAATCTAACTACAATAGGACAAAAAGAAGCAATTTAATGTTTGAACCGTAACAACAAGAGAAGAAAAAAAGAACTAGGAAGATAAATGGGATCGATAAGTAGTGCTATTGCAATTTCGAACACAGCATATTTCGGTGCTGATTCACTTTTTTTTCTCATCGATTCTCTGCCGATCGCAGTGCTCGACTTTCTTTCGGCCAAAAACAACTTAGGCGAAATCAATAATATCAAGAGAACAAAAAAGTGACCGATTAATGGCATTCTCTGGAAGATGTCTAGATCAAAAAAAAAATCTGTGTGTATGTTTGTGTTGTTGTTGGTGCACTCAAAGAGTGCAAATCGTCAAACAAAAGAATGGTTAAACGGCGCCGTGTCATTTTGTGTTGCACACAATGCCCAAAATACCGAATAACAATTCAACTACAAGCATTTAATACATGTTTAGATGTACTTGATATTTTGCAAGATGATTCTTGGTGTCATTGTTGTGTATAGTTTTCTTTTTCTTTTTTTTTAATTTCTGGGCATTGGATCGTGTGCGCTCTTCATAGGATATTAAGGCACCGCACTGTTTTCCACTTGATTTTTCCTTTTCATATTAAATAATTCCATTCCACAGTCAGTTGAATTTCTATTCGTTACTTTTCTTCCATCTCTGTTGTATTGGACACACAAAGAAATCTCAATCACAATATATCGCTTTTGAGAATTGTTTTGCTGATTATTGGTTTGCGAAATGAAAAAAAAAAAAAAAATTTGCAATACATTCTGAATATGTGGCTTAGCGTTGGGAATTCACAAAATTTCACAATAGCCACAATGAATGATCGATTGGATTTGGGAAAATATCGACCACTTGAATAGAACGTTTACCATCACCAAAGCAATTTTAACCCATCACCAGAGGAAAAAAAATAGAACTCACCGAGTATCGGCCGCATCGTCCTTTCTATTGGTGTTTTCAGCCCTTTTTAGTGACGAGGCGAATGCAAACGATGATGGTGTTCGTGGATATTTTGAATTGTCATCTTTGCTCTCCTCCTCCCTCTCACAGCTATTTTTCGATTCTTCTTGATTGACATCGTCCTGATCGTTCGCTGAAAAAAAAAACAGAAAAACAATTATGCATTTGACCGATTTAAATTTCTTTCAAACCTATATGCAGTACTTTCTCGGTAAAAACAAAGCATCATACAATAGGTTTTCTTTTTTTTCTCTCTTTATTCTTAAAACCTTTCGATCTTGATTGAATTGAATGGATTTTGTTCCAGGAAGCATTCGAAAACCGATGAACAAGAATGCATGTACGTAATGCAATACGATAATCTCGACAATCCGTTTAAATTTCACAATCGAATCGTTTTCACATGCATTTTGCATTTGAATGCGTACATTTATTGGATCACCAATTTTCCGTTTACGTTCGATTTGCGTATGAATAGAGCATTGAAGCAGCAAGGAACTTTATTTTCATGCAAATATCCATTTGCTTGTGGCTTGAGATGAGATAAGACATTAAATTCATTAAAAAACAATAATATCATCAGTTGAACCATTTGGCAGAGCATTTTTGTTTGGCCTTGACTCAAAATGAACAGAAATACACATCATTTTTTATCATATCTCCCATGTTGTTTTTTTCCTTTTCTGCTTCTACTGCTTAGTGAGTCAGAATTTATGAAACAAATGATGAATTTTGTCAGTGAAACCAGGACGGAACAAAGGCAGAAAAAAAACAAACAGACCGAAGGAGATGCAGTAGCTGAAGCGTAAGTGAAACCATCATAAAAATGATTCCTTTCATGTTTTTGTCAGTTGCATCAGCATAAGTTGCGAGACAGTGATTCTGAGTTTCAATGCACCCATGCGTGCATTCAAATGCTAACAGAAAATCAAATATTTGATGTGTGCAATGCAAACACACAAGGCTCGCTCTCTGTCGCGAGCGCGCGCGAGTGCTAGTGAAAGAATATCACAATCAAAGAAATGATTGTGTTCATTTATCTTGTTTGTGTGTATGTAACGGAAATTCGTCAATGTCAACGACAACGACGACGACAGTGGCGGTTATGATGCCACGGAATGTGAAAAATAATAACGAAAAATGTGCGCTCTAAACCATATCCAACTGAATCAAATTGAGATCCAGATTCGCCGGGCTTCAAGTCATCTTCGTGAAACGACAGAGCAGCTACATGTGGCAGTGAGTGTGTGTGCGTCAGCAATTAAATATTCATTTCAGTTAGAACCAATTGGTAGAAACAAATCATATTTTATTGCATATAAAAATCATAACAGGACTCTTTCTGTATCTATGTGTGTATTCACAAGGCTGAGCGCATTTTGAGTCATTTGGTTTTGAGTTGAGTACTATGTGCTGTAATTTGGTGCATATGTGTAATCAACACCATCACCGTGCTCCAGTATTGAGTAAGCAAAAAGCAACAACAGCCATGAATACAGTTTTTATGATTGCATCGTTTCATCATCGCGTAATAAACAAAATACAAACAACAGCGACACTCCAAAGACAGTACAAACAATGAAGAAACAATTCATGTCTCGTTCGCTTGCTTGCTTCTGTTAATACTACTGCTGCTCCACATACACACAAAGGGAGATAAAAACATACGTCCGTTGAAGAAAAAAACAACAACATTGAATTGAATAATGAGAAACATTGTCCTACGAAGCATTCAACACTTGGACCAAATTGTCATATTTTCGTTGCATTCGTTTCTTTTATGCTCTTGATTTTCGACTCATGGAATCGTACGCGTACGCATTTCTTCTTGCAATGTCTTCTTCAATTTGAACTGATGAACACAACTCAAAACAACTAACCGCATAAACAACTGCACTGCACACTTATTGCTGCTCCGCCAGACTAAACAGAAACCAATAACCAACATGATTTTATTAATTTAAAGTGTAAAAATAATTTTTTTCTTTGTTTCTCTTCCGTCTCACAATTGTGAAGTTGGAACTTATTCAGCCGCCGTCTGTGGAAGAAATTTAGTTGAATATTCTATTTTTGTGTTGGTTTTTGTAATGCCGTATTTTTATGCGGATGGAATTGGATGCAGGCCCATATGAATGCAATTGATATTATGCTATGCGATCGTCTCTGTTATCCACATATCCAGAATGAAAGAGCAGGGAGCATTATGAGCAGCCATGTGCATGACTTAAATTACTTGTAATTCACTTCAATTCGTTTTTTCCTTTCTTTTTCATCGAAACGTGCGATCACATGCATCGCATAAAACTCGAGCTCTTTCTCTCTATCTCTCTCTCTCTCTCTCTCTCTCTCAGTTTTGAATGTATTCGCATGTACTAAAAATAGTATGGAAAAAAATCCATTTTTTCAAGTATAACAGTTTTTTTTATCCCTGGTAAATGATCGCCGGAGATGACTGATATTTTTGGAATGAATTTCATAAGCGCAATTTCACTGATTCGCTTCAATTTGAGGGAAATCCACCATGAAACATTACCCAATGAGGAAAACGTTACAGTTGTACACATTTTGTGCACGGCCAATGTAATTTCTCCATAAGCTGTGCACAAAATGTGTACAACTGTAACGTTTTCCTCATTGGGTAGTTTGGCTAATCAAAATCAATGGCTCTTATTTCCTGGCGACTCATTTATGAATGGTGCCATGATAGTACTTGGGGAGAACGGTTATATTTTCATCGCCATTTCTCTTCATTTGAACTAAAATTGTTTAAATTGAAGTTCACAAGGAATTCAACAATATTCGAATGCATGTCCAACGGACCCGTGTTTTCAATTACTTTCAACGAAACTCCGTGTTTGGTCTAAACTCTTCCTTGATACATGCATACACGGACAAGAAAAAACAGTAACGGCCTGTAGCAGTGTTTTCGAGAATTAGTCGATCCTCTTCATTGCCTCCATCGACGTTAAGTTCCGTTTTATTCAATTTCAACTAGTGAGAATGAAATTCAACAACTGAACCCGGGTTGTAGTTTGGTAATTGAATCGGTTACGCACTAAATCATTCCATGCATTTCATATTGTTCTAATTGAGTTCATTTCTGTTCTCGGGCTTCTTTGCGTTTGTTTTTTCTCTCTCTCTTTTTCTGTATCGTCGTTTCGGCACTCTTATTCTTCAATTAACAAAGCCTCCCGAGTTGCAGTTGATAGTTTTAGGTCGGCGATTAAATTACGACAAAGCGAAAATTCTAAATATTTAAATGAATACGCGCACGAACTCAGCAACAACAATCGAATTGGAGTGAAAAAAACCGACCGAAGAAATGGCCCGAAACCGTATTATTGCGGCGATTCGTTATGTCTTTTGATTGAATGTATGAGTTTACACGATGGTCTAATAAAGATTAAAATAAACAAAAAGAAATGTGTGTCGGGATCACGATTTCTTTTCTTCGGGTTATGTTCTGCAACAGGCAGAGAGAGAGAGAGAGAGAGAGAGACAATGTCGAAGTTGGAAAAGGTCATCCTTATCCACGTCATAAGCAAACAATTCATAGAATAGATACGCGCGCATAAAAAGTGTTGAATTGAATTAAATTTAATGTCTATAAATTTTCAAAGTAATGTTGGCAATAGTTTGACATTTGAATATATGTGCGTTTTTGTTCGATGCGAGAAGAATGTGCGCGTACAGAGCGCAAATGAAACGGGGTCACCGAATCACTCTTTGTTTTCTGCCTATCAAATATTATACACACAATACACGAAACACATGCGTTTTCTTTTCTTCTTCTTCTTCTTCTTCTGCTGTTCGATTGCGTGTCGGGTAAGAAAAATTCCAATAGTTGGCCTCTCTCGAACATACACACAATAGATCACAAGGAACGGAATCATATTTTTTTTCTTTCTTTCCAAAATGCGAACCTTCTTCAGATTTGAATTGTGTGTGGACGATTTGATTCGGCCGGAATTCTTCATCGTTCGATTCCATTGTACATAATTCGAATAGATAGAGGACTCAATGGTTTGATAAATTCACGCATTCACGTAACAACAATGGAACAAACCAACGGGAAAAACTCAATTACAGCGGAAGGCTAATCGAAACACACAGATTCGGTTGACCCATACGACCATCAACTCTTCCACTCTGTCTCACTTGAGAGAAATAAAAACGCGATAAAAACAGTGACAGGAAAAAAGGATGAGGACAGACACCGCAAAATTTTCAACTACCTGAGCCAGGAATTAATCTTATTAAACATTCGGCATTGTTATCGCCATCGCCCATTTATTATTCGAGCGATGAATGCTGAAAAACAATTGAAACACATTTCGTCCGGTTGTGAAAGATGACGATGCTGCTACTGCTGCTCGCATCACATTTTAGCACATTCCCAAAAGATTTTAATTAGCAATTTGATCATTTTTTTCCTCATATTTTCGCATGAAATTGGGCGAGCTCATTAAAAAAAAACTGTTATTAAAATCAACATGTTTCAGTTTCATACAACTGCGAAATCCGTTTGTTTTCGTCTGTTGCTCATTGCATTGCTCATCATGTGTTCACGAGAGAGAGAAAAACCGTTAAAGATGACAACAAGTATTTTTTGGGCATATGGCAAAGAGGAAGTATTTGGAGCCGCAAATCATATCATTTTTCTTTTTGCGCCAACATTTGTATGAAATGTCTTGAGTTTTGGCTTTTGTTTCGTCATATTTAGAGCGCATGCCACAAACACGATATTTATTTGATGATGCGCGTGTAGGTCACAAGACAAGATCGCTTTCATTCAATTGAGAGAATACCGGTTGGATGCGATCTTCTCGTCACTGTTCTTTTCGAGTGTGTGTGTATATGCTTTTTTGTCGTCAATCATCTAAGTTTTTCAATTCCAATCTAGTTCTTATGCCGTCTGGCAAAGTTTTTGGCAATTCCAATGTGCGGTATGCAGTGCAGACGAGTTTCCCTTTCATCCCTTTCACTTTTCCGGTGCTTCAACAGCCTACGTATTTGTCTGTGCAAAATAGTGAATAGATTGTCTCAACCAACTCTAGTTTAGCACGCCTTTCAGTCAAGACAAGAGCCGAAAAAAACATCATCTTCATAAAATCATTTCCAAATTGCGCTTTG